TATGTTTTATGGCTTACAATGTATTTTAAAGAAAAGTACAGTAGAATCCCATTAACTCGGACTCTGAACGGGTATATATATTTTGTCCGACTTAGCGAATGTCCGAGTTAAGCGAAGCTTTCGGTATATGTAGAGAATTCAAGGGAATTGAAAATTCGTCCAACTTAGTAAAAGCCCAACTTATCCAGGGTCCGAGTTAACGGGATTCTACTGTATCACAAAAGTATCTTACGAAAGAAATGTTTCCAATAAACACCGGCAAATAGCACAGAATAGAGAATATAAGTAGCACCAAATAGGGAATAGTAACTTCGAAACCAAAGTTTAACAGGCAATAGCATATAAATTTAAACTCTAACTAAGGTGTTTTAAAAGTATAGCCGTAACCACTGGAGGGCCAGGGAGGCCTTGGTCTCCCCGAAAATTTTTTTTTTTTAAATTATAATTATTAGGCAAAACATTTATGTAAAATATTTTTAACAAATATTTTAACCCATCCCTCCTTCAAAAGAACCATAGGCCCCCCAACATCATAACTCTGGTTACGGCTCTGAAGTATCATTAGAAACTGGTGGGATCATCATTTTATTTAACTGGATCTATTAAATGTCTGTTTTAGTGAAATGTTTTCACGATAATAAACAATCCATTACTTGAGAAACTTTTTCGATATTTAATGATTTAGTTTGTGGAGTAGACCACAAATAATCGTTTTTATAATACATTAGCCATATTAATTGAAATTCCTTTTGTTTGAGGTCTCTCGTATTCAGTTTATAAATATTATTTTACAAATTCCAGTGAGTAGATCGGGAATTTTTTTTTAATGCTAGTCTTTTTTTTAATGTTAGTCTTTAATGGTATTACACTTAAAGTTGCTCCTAAAAGTCAGCATTACGGCTTATTATTATTTTTTTAAATAATTAATTAAGTGGTGTTACTAAAACTTAGAGATAATTTTGTTCTGTAAAAAGAATATAAACACGAACACAATGTTTTACCTAAAAACATTAAATGAATTAATAAAAACTATCTTCAATTTCAGATTAAACGCGGCAAATGGAGAACTTGGCGAATTATTTTATCGCTAATTATTATTTTTTATAAAAACCAAAAAAAAAAAAAATGCTTTTCACAGACTTTTTAAAAATATTATGTTATTTATTTAAAGCGAATAAAAACTAAAATATAAATGCATTAAAAACTAACTCTTTATAAAAAAATTATCAAAGTCTAATATAGGTATTCCGTATAAATCGCAAAAAACAGAAAAGTCCTAAATTATTTGCAATATTTTTACAACTTTAATTTTTATTCCGTTAAATGCAAGTATTTATTTATCAAGGAAAGATGGATCTTTTTAAATTTTTTATTTGATAAAAACAATTATAGAAAGAAAAAAAAAAAACTTTTATTTTTAAGTTAGTGAATTATCATACTTTTACTTTTTTTTGTAATAAATTCGTGAATACATGCTCGCTTTTATAAAGATTAAAACAGCCGTGTACCATAAACCTGAACTCGGGCCCCAAACGATCTTGCTACGCCAATAAATTTAGTTTTTTTTTTTTTTTTCTTAATCACTTACTGTAGGTATTTTTAAAAGGTAAAAGTACACACAAAAAAAATTGTTTAAACTTTGAAAGGAAGAAAAGAAATCATTTCGGAATTTTTTCTTCTAGAGTTTGCTTGAAAATGTTTCTCTGTTCTTTTATGTTCCACCAATCCAATGAGCTTTCCAATTTTTTTTCAATATCTTGTGGGATTTTATCCTCCACCATCACAAAACGTATTCTTTTTTTTTCATTCTTTAATTTTTTAAAACTTAGTCCACTAATATGGCACACCTGCTGATGTCCAGCAGGTGTGTCATATATAAAGATTATATTAGAGATAATCTACAAAAGATTGTTTTACCGTTGGATTTTAAACTGAGATTGAATAATATCATTCATCGATTTGTTTTCAAAAAGACGAATAAATAAGTTCAGTTTATTTTGGTGAATACATTTTGATATGTCTTGAATTTTAAATAACGGGTGTAAATAATTTTTGCAATGTTTTGAAAGGTTGAAGAACGATTTTAATGGGCTTCTTCCGATTTTGTCTAGGTTTTGCATTGTTACGTCATTGGTTTTACAAAGTTCCAGACCGTAAGTTAATGTTGGTACTATTAAGGTATGATATAATTGTAAGATGGATTTTGGATAAACAAAACGTATTCCAGATTGAATAAGAGTTTGAACAGCTGTGCTAAAATTAGCAATGTTTACCTGATCAAGCGAGGCAAATGTAGAGTGCTCCGTATCCTATGTAAACTCTAAGTGTTTTAGTCTATTGTGTAAATTTATTTGTTTACCATCGAAAGATATTGAGCAACTTTGTAACTGTCTTTTACCTGTCAGGAGAAACTCTGTTTTATCAGGTTTAATTTTATGCAATTTGAATTGCAGTATACATTCAAATTTTCATTAATTTTTCCAGACTAGATAGAGTTGAA